GGGAATAAAAGAGAGAGTGGAGGGAGGGATAGAGGGAGGAGAAAAAAAAAAGATTAAAAGAGTAAGGGAGAGTGACAAAGAGAGAGGGAGAAGGGCTAAAACATGAACATACTGACAAGATCTGTCGCTATCTAAGGCCATGTACCTCCGTGAAGTGAGGAAACTTGAGTTAAAATGTCTTTCCCAAGGACACAATGTCGGGCCTGAGGCTCGAACTCCCGAACCCGCAGCCTCACAATTATGAGTCGAGTAGCCTAACCACTAGACCACCGATGCTCATATACGGAGTACTACATTAACATTGAGGTGCACACACATGCATACACACACATACATACACAAACACACACGATTACGAGTCCGGTAGCCTAACTACTACATGACACTATGACTACTCACTCTAACAGATCCATGAGATGTCGGATGAAATCTCCCTGCCCAAGAAGCAAGTAGCGCCTCATTGCCTGAGGAAGAAAAATAAAAGTATAGATCTGGTATAAACCGGATAGCTTGAATTCGTCGGGACCGGCCTCGGTAGTTCGGGGGGGGGGGCGTAGTTCAAGGGATATCTTACAAAGATAAAAAAGAAAAAAAAAATGGGGGGGAGGGATGTTAGAGTTTAAAAACCGGGACTGCAGGCACAGGTCGACGGAAGCGTAATTTCGGGAGCGAACGACGAGCCTGCTCCCGCCAGCTGTTGCCGAGGGATGTCAGTCTACCAACCGACAAACCAAGACGACAGCTGCAGAACGCGTCGACCCATCTGGAACACCAGGACCTCAACATCTGCTGGGACATTTCAGTAACCCACTTTCAGCACTTTTTAAGGACCCCGGACGAGTGTTGAGTTCCTGCGTGCTGTCGGCATCGCTGACCGTTTATGAAGCCACAGCGCCAGAAGAGAGAGAGAAAGAGAAAAGTGTAATTTCGAGTCTTCTGTATTCGACCTAGACGTGTTATTCTGTAGTACTAAACAAGACATTCACACGACAAGAAATAATAGTACAGAAAATGAACAAGGGGAAGGTCATATAGGTGCGTGGGACACATTAAACATTTCCAGTCTGTAGGAAAATTTGAATTTTGCTCGGGTGGCGGCTGAAGCCTACTCTTATCGACATGAAGGGTGTGACAGCTACCTATGGCCTCACATTATAAAAAAATTTAATACATGAAGAGAGACAACAACACAACTGCTCTCCTTGCCTGCCTGCCGGTACCTGACCTTTATTTACTTTTGATCACACTGAAATCCCGTGTGCATATTGATAACGAGGCCAAGAGAAGGGGAAACAACTGTGACAACAAAGAACTGTCCTTTCAACACTCACAACACAGTTCATTCCCATTTTCACATCAGACACAAACATTACAAAGGGATTAAACAGACTTTGCCATATTTCTCTTACCGTTCTGATGGGCCCGTCCACGCGATACTCCAGACTGAACACGTCCCAGCCCGTATCCCCTGGCGACACGTCCAGCAGACGTACGTCGAGGCGCCGCAGTATGTCCGCGTCGTCAAACTGAGCGTTGGTCGCCCGAATGGCCGTCTCGAGTATGCCCGTCAGGTTGTGCAGATACAAGTTGCTGGCTGGTTTGGCCAGGTCCTCTCTAGTGTGGGAAGAAAGGGCGAAAAATTGAGTTATAATATATTTCCCTCTGGTTTTCATTTGTTAGTTTGTTGGTTGGAGTCGGTGTTTCAGGGCATTATCAACTCAGTTTTGGTCAGTCTGGTTTT